GAACACATTGTGAACGCATATTTTTCCATCTTATTGAAATCTTTAAGGCTCGGACGATTCCTGTCGATCGGACGGTATGAACTGCGTGGTCTGTACGATAAAACAATGTCATATATATTGTCTAACATTTTAGAATGGAATGTCTATATATTTTTAATTTTCACCAAAACCGAACAGACCCCTTGTTTGCTAAGTGTCCGTAATACCATGATGAATTATTAGAACGTTGAACCTTGCACAGGGTATTAATCTCAAACAAGTACTTCTTCGTTCAAGTACAATGAACTAAAATAAAGTTTATTTCCCTTTAGGTTCCCCGGGTTATAATATGTATGGTTAAATATACATTTAACAATAAACACCTGCATATTATGTTTACATATATATATATATACATTAAATATGACCGATGAAACGAGACACGAAACGGTCTACGGAAATTTTGGAATGACCTCTATTCCTAAAATATATCCACTAAGGGTACATACTGGGTTGAAAGTACAAACGTATTGTTTACTTTAAAAGAGAACAAATAATGTACTATTCAAATTGAAGATAACATAACCACTCATTAATCGTTAATAGTTATTAGATTTTCCACGCTTTTATTTAATATGGCTTTATAATAATTCTATATGAATTTTAGCCATTTCCGCCACTGTTCTTCTATCGTCTCGGACCTTGATTCTATATTTCCAGTGAGAGGGTAGTGGTGAGTGGGGGTGGGATGGAGGGAGTGTAAGAAAGCAAAAACAAAAGCAATTAAAAACCTTATGATTGTATTTTCGTCCATCCTGAAGCTTTTAATACCGAACAATTTCAAATATCAAGTAGTATGTCATACGTAATCACATAGTTTTCACATAGCAAAATACAATAGTTTTGCCACGCAGTAAACTGCAGTATGCCGCGTACAAATGCCAAAGCACCTATTGTGTATTACAATTTTTATCAGCTTTATTAATACCATAAATTAATAAAATGTCAACAAACAGTAATAAATATATCACTCAAATATGACACTTTATATGGTTTTTTAAACTAATTTTTTAAATAATGTGTAATTTGAGAAAAATGTGAATGTTTTAACATGGAACATGCTTCAGCCTTGGCCCTAAAACGACACGAATAGCGTCACGAAAGTAGCGTGAAAGTGGCGCGATCTAGCGGTTGTTATTTTATATAGTGTTTATATATATATATATATATACAGAGTGATCCAACTAACGTAAGACACTCAGGTACATATTTTCTACATTTTTCAATATTTTTAGAATATAAAACAAGTATCGCATTTGGTCCTTTAAATGGGAACAAATGTTTTTAAGAAACATAGAAAATAAATCGTTAAAATGCAGCTAATAATAACCGATGCATACTATAACCATAATATGTAATTTGTGAGTCACACTTGTTAGGTTAGGTGAGAAGAACAACATGCTTTTAATTTTTATTACATTTATTAAATCACAAACATTTTTCATAGTGCCTTATAACACAATTCTAATGAAGATTATAAACTAGTTTTTTTTCCATAAAGAAAAAACCATAATAATTTTAAATATTAAATAATACAACCTAGTCAGTTGTATACTGTAAGTATACGTGTTTCTGAGGTACTGAATGGTCCGTTTGTCAGCCACTTCGGCTAGGATCAAATATAATACGTTTCTCGTCCACGTCGTAGTGAAAACCAAGTTGGAGCAAGTGATTGTCGATGAAGTCTATGTATGAATTTAATTTGTTTATATACAAATCGTAGATACCATCTGGGAGAATTCTGCTGTCATATTCATTTGTTATTGCACTCATATCGAATTCATGGTAACGTGGTTCACAGTTTAAGGCTAAATAGGTCCCTAAGAATACAGCAACTCCTCTTAACAACTGATGAACAACTTTGCCTCCTGGTAATTCGCCTAAGAACTCTACGCGGACTCGTCCCGTGAGAAATGGTAGGAGTGGCGAAAGTGTATTATAAAATTCATTGTCATCACTATTTATGTTGCCTACATAATCGATGTACTGCAATGTGCGCATCAACTTAAACAAAATCAATTTACCTCTTTCGATATTGTCTATGAGTTTGTTCTTACAATCACCAGCACGTTCCCTGGACTCTCGTTTCATTTCGTCACATTTATCAACTGCCACAAGCGTCAATAAGAGAAACCAATGCAATTTTTCGCCGTAAGCGCATGACAGAAATGAAGACATTATTTGCAACTTGTTCGCTATACTGTAACTAGAATATATTAAAGATGGTTTACCGACGATCCCGTCGAACCATGGCATATTATCCCAATGTCGTTCTTGTTGAAGGTGATCGAACAGGCGTTGCGCTTCTGTCGGGTCTGCGCACACCCTGTTATCATTTTGTATGCGCGCCAAAACAATCGAAACTAAGATCTTTAAGAACGTTTTTATTTCCATGCTAAATAATATTTTGAATTGAATAATTTCACCTAAGAGAACATTAAGTGTCTTGTGCGGTCTAAATGAAAAAACGGTATGCCTACAAATTGTTTATTTTCGCCAAGACTGTATTTCGCATAAACCAACGCACTAGTTATTTGCTTAGTGTCAGCGTTATTTTTTTTAATATTAAAGCGTGACACTTTGTACAGCATAATTTTTATAAAAACTATTAAGTACCGCCTTAAGCATGAATTTTATTCGATTTTTTAAAAATTATTTTCAGTACTGTGTAATTTGTGCAATCAGAATATTCATTAATATTATACCACTATGTTCAACAGTATGTTGGATGGGACAAATTTGATAAATACTTTTTGTAGAAACCAAATCGAATATAAACGGTCTCATCGAAAGGTCGTTGTGTAAAAGATCAAATGTGACACTAAAAAAACACTTTGTATATAAAACCAGTAGAGCATTTTTTAAAATACTAAATATTACCTATAATGACGGCGCAAAAAATGTGTGTCAAAAAAATTTGTATATTTTTGGGGTTTTTCTCGGATTGGCTATTATATTATAGTTACTCAGTATTATAACTCTACAATTCTGAGCAAATAAACTATTGAAACCACAGAAAATATGTATGCCTTGTTTAAATTATTAATACCTTCGCAGCTGTTTAAAACAAACAACGAAAGAAGAAACATGGTAAAACGTGTATTATAGTGTATTCTACCTACATTTTTTGGAAATTGCAATTTATTTAATAGGAATATCACAACATGATGGATTACGCTATGAAATTAATTTTTTTATACCAGTGTAACAATCTAGGTTAGGTTGAGCACGTTGTTGTCAAGTCTTTTGCCCATTATCTTTCAAAAACAGTGTTGGGAAAAGATAACTATAAAGTTATCTAGATAAGATAACGGATAATTGAGTAATTTATCATCTAGATAAGATATTAAATTATTCATTTAACATTTATTTAGCTAAAAGATAAAGATAAATACAATTTTATCTAGATGAAAAATAGATAAATTAAATTTTAACCTTCATAAAATGTTATACGAAAATGTATGAGTGAAACAAAGTATTTTCACAAATTACAGAATAATTTAATAACCAATAATACGTAGGTACTAAGAAATGGACAGTTACGTCAAAGAGCAAATTTTCCTTATATTAGATTTCGTGATTTATGGCTACTCTGTTCATTTGTCATTTATTATTTTCATGTACTCTGTTTATGTCATCTTTTATGTAGGCAACAGTAATAGTATAAATAGGTATAAAACGTAAATACGAGTTTATCAAACTCGATAATCGATGACGGGACATTTCATTATCGGTTGAAACTATTTATAAACATATTGTTCTTTTTTGAGGCTTAACTATCGTTTTGGCCACATACGGTCTACGGACTACGGAGAGCCCACATTATGTTTAAAATGTTTATCACAAGGTTAGGTTATTTTATTTTGATTGAAAATACAAATAACTTTTTGGAAACGGCTCATTGTTTATTGGACTTGTATTACTGTTTACTATTTTACTTTTATAGTCTTTACTCTTTACCCTATATGTAGTTACTGATACAGGACTCGCCTGACATGTATATATATTTGTAAAATATAATTTATAACCATTCTGCTCAAATAAACACCTGCACTTTCGACCATTTTTTTTGTTGGGATTTTGGTCAATGTTAATCTTGAAATTATTATCGTAAAAATTCTTATAAACACGTTTTATATAGCACTAGTAATTATTTCGAGAGTACTGGGAAAAAAATTATCAACATTAAATAAAAACTGAGCACTGTAGTCGAGAACTACGAATATAAATAATAAATTATACGATAATACATATATAACTCTTATCTACTTCTACCTATTAAAAATAGGTAAAAGACGTTTTGTATAATCGACTAAAATACATTGGATTACAATGGAATATTGGACTTGTCTAACAAGCCAACCCCAATGTATTAATAATATATTCTTATATCACTAATCACTATTCATTAGGACCTAGGTATATTAATATTTTTAGGCTAGGACTACATTATGCGTTTCGTCGGATCCCGAAACCTGCTTTTGTAAAACCCACGAATAAATAACTTAAAAAATAGTTACAATTTCTATCTAGATTAATTACCTCAGATAACCGATTTGTTTGTCTAAATAAGATAATAAGATGATTTACTTTTTTTTATCTAGATAATTCCCAACACTGTTCAAAAATAGTCCAAATAATTCCAAAAGTTGATGCAAATAATTAGCGCTTTTGCATCCTCTTGATACACATTTTTTCTACATGTTACTATTTCGTAATTTAAACGAAATTTTTGGAATTAAGGTCTGGTAATTAGAAGACGGGTGCATCTAGATTAGATTATATCATACACGGTTTTCAATCCATCAGTTTTAAATATGTATATATTTTTTTTATATTACAATAATGAAATAAATTATCTTTAATGTTTTTTTTTCGAATAAAATATATTGTGACACACAGTAAAAACAGCGAACAACACACTTTTGATTTGTATTACATTTATTAAACACTGAAATCCTAAACATTTTTCATAATACCTCGTAACACAATAACATGACATTGACGAATGAATTGTATTGAGATTATATAAATTGGTTACTATATCTAGGGAGAAAAAAAAACAATAATTAATGCAATTACTAAATAATTCAACCTGGACTATTGTACACGGATATACATGTTTCTAAAGTACTGAATCGATCGTTTGTTAGCCTCTTTGACTAGGATCAAATACCATACGGTTCTCGTTCACGTGGTAGTGAAAACCAAGTCGGAGCAAGTGACCTTTGATAAAATCTACGTATGAACTTAATTTGATCGCATAGAAATCGTACAAACCACTTGGGTATTCTTCGATAGAAAATTCATCAGCGGTTTCCTTCAAATAGAATAGTTGGTTGGGTGGTTCACACGTATGGATCAAATAGTTGCCTAAGGATTCGGCAGCTCTACTAAACAATGCGTAGAATACCAAGCCGCCTGGTTCCCCGGCAGAAAATATTACGGGCACGTCTCCCGCGAGAAAACTTTGGAATGGCTTCAGAATTTGGTAGAATACATTGTCGGCAATATCTCTGTCGATTGCAGAATCGATGTACTGCAATGTGCCCATCAATAAAAAAATAACAAATCTACCTGTTTCCATACTCTCCATGAGTTTTTTCTCGCAATCGTCAGTGTGGTCGCTGCTTTCACGTTGCATTCTGTCACATTCGCAAATTGCAACAAGTGTCAATGAGAGAAACGAATGCAACTTGTTGCCGTAAGCGCATGCCAAAAAAGGAGATATCATTTGCAACTTGGCAGCTGCTCCAGTGGCTAAGTTACCGTCAGCAATAACAAATGTATCGTTTATCCCATCGAACCATGTCATATCATCCCAATGTTGTGCTTGCTGAAGGTGATCGAACAGGCGTTGCGCTTCTGTCGGGTCTGCGCACACCCTGTTATCATTTTGCACGCACGCCAAAACAATCGAAACTAAGAACTTCACGAAAGTTGTTTTTTCCATGCTAAATAATATTTTGAATTGAATAATTTCACCTAAGAGAACATCAAGTGTCTTGTGCGGTCTAAATACGATGAAAAAACGGTATGCCTACCAAATTGTTTATTTTCGCCACGACCGTATTTCGCATAAACCAACTGACGCACTCGTTATTTGCTTAGTGTCAGCGTTATTTTTTAAATATTAAACCGTTAAACATTTATTACAGAATAATATTTATAAAAACTAGTATGTACTACGTTCAAGCATACATTTAATTTGATTTTTTAAAACTATTTTCAGTAATGTGTAGTTTGTGCAATCAGAGGTTGCTTTAATATTATTCCATAGTTTTAAAAACTATATTTGGCGGGACAATAAGAATATAGGTAAATCTAAATTGGGTTAAAACTGATAGCATATACGGGATTCAAGCCATCAGTTTTAAATATGTATATTTTTTTTATTTTACAAAAATTAAATTAATTATCTTTTACTGTTTTTATTTCTTATAAAATATGACACATTTTTAAAAATAAGCGAAATAGAAATTTCTAGTAAGAACAAAACGGAAGCGGTTTATTCTAATACCTTGCAACCTATTCCAAAGAAAATTTGATGTTTTAAACAATTTATTTTTGCATTTTCCTACAGTCTGATTGGTTTTTTTTTAAATAAATGTTTTTTTCATATTTACCATGAAATATGCTTTAGCGTTGCTCCCCAGCTCAAAAATGACACAAAATCACGACATGAAATAGCGACACGAAAGTAGCCTATTTGAATGCATGTGAACAGTCGAGACCACTATTGCCCTGAAGATGGACTCTGCAAAGAGTTCGAAACGTCGGCATATAACATGTGCCGTGGATATATCCGAAACTTACTCAATTGGTGTATCAATCCACGGAAGTTTTAACGCATTCATATGAAAATTAGTTATATTAATTTCTAACGCACAATTTGCATTTTAGTACTTTTATTAAATCATTTCAATCATCAATACAAACAACATTTTTAGTAATACCTTGGAAGGAGCAATGGTCGAGTGGGTAAGGCGGCAGCGTGTTAGCGCTTACTGTCACTGGTTCGGCACTAGGGTACGTCAAGAAACCATCACATGATGGCAGCGGTAATCTATATGATATAATAATATAAAAATAATATATAATGATATAAAAATGCACCTTATAACACATTGAAATGCCAAAAAATCAATGAATTTTATTAAAATTATATAAACTGATTACTATTAAGAAGAAAAAAACATTAATAATTGTACCGAATTACTAGATAATAGAACGTAGAATATACCAATAACCATGTTTCTGTAGAATTGAATTAGCTGTATGCTAGTTATTTTAGTTGGGATTAAAGTCAATGGAGCCATTGTGCTCGTTGTAGTGAAAACCAAGTCGGAGCAAGTGACCGTCGATGAAGTCTATGAATGCGTTTAGTTTGTTTATATACATATCGTAGATACCGTTTGGGAGAATTCCGCTGTCATATTCATTCCTCATTGCGATACTATCGAATACACGGTAAGGTGGTCGACATGTATCGTCCAAATAGGCTCCTATGGATTCTGCGACTTCTCTTAACAGCCGAAGCAAAGGTGCGCCTCCTGGCAAGCCGCCTGAGAATTGCACGCGGACTTGTCCAATAAGAAATGGTAGGAGCGGCGAAAGTTTTTGATAAAATTCGTTGTTGGCACTATTTATGTTGCCTACGGAGTCGATGTACTGCAATGTGCGCATCAACTTAAATATAACCATTTTACCCTTTTGGATAGTGCTTAAAACTTTGTCCTTACAATCGTCAAATTTGGCGCGTTGGTTATTGTCTCGCTGCATCTCGTCGCACTCATTAATTGTTATTAGCGTCAGAAACAGATACCAATGCAATTTTTCGCCGTAAGCGCATGCCAAAACTGGAGACATCATTCGCAACTTAGCTGCGGCCCCGGCATAATCATGTATTATATGTTCGCCGTTGACACCTTTGAACCATGGCATACCATACCAAAGATTTTCTCGGTAAAGGTGATTGGCCAGGAGTTCTGCTTCTGACGGGTCTGCGCACACCCGGGTTTCATTGCATAAGCACACCAAAACCAACGGAGTTAAGAACTTTAAGAAAATATTGTTTCCCATCCTAAATCGTTTGGACTTGAATAAATTCACTCGACACAACGGTATCGTCTTGCGCGGTCTAGACGAAAAACAGAATACCGGTACGTATTTTTCATCGGTGCTACTTATAGAAGACGACCGTATTCAGCATAAACAAACAGAGACAAACCCATTGTTTGCCCGGGGTATACTCTATGACTGTTGTCTATTATAATTATTCTATAAATAATCAAGTCGCCAAATATTAAAAACCTGGCTACATATTTATTTTTATTTTTTCGCACAAACAAACAGACGTAATCATTCGCAAGACTATAATGCAGTTGTTCCAATAAGAATTTAATACATTTTAAAAAAAAAAATTTTTTTGATAGGGTTTTTGACTTGAAATCAAGTGGTCTCTGAATACCAGAGCATCCGTTTGGTGCACTTAATCTTCTAAATAATTTAATTTGACCAAACAAAAATACTAAATCCAACTGGTACTGTGCCATTAAGAGCTATCATGATTTGTTCCTTGAGAATTTGATAAAATCGATTGTTTTTAACATCTTGGTTGATTATGAAACATCGAGAAAAAGTAGAAACACATGCATGAATTTTAAAATAACAAATTTACCTCATTTCATACTCTCCACAAGTGTAGGAGTTACAATCGTCGGTTTAATCAAATTTAGTATGATTAAAGGGTAATATTTTCATTTTTTTTTTTTTATTTGAATTTTCCTTAAAAATAAAAAAGTTTGCTACATATTTCAAAACAAATGTGTATATTATAGTCCATTAATTTTGATATAACTTTAGTCTTTTTTTTAGACATCAATGTTCCAAAAACTACCCTCAAAAAATGCAATAACATAATGTTTGTATCCCATCCAGGGAATAGGGTTTTTATTATTTGTTTGGTTTGTCTACGTATATTAACACCACTAATTCTAAAAACCATTGCCTACTAATTTGACTACAATTTAAAGTTATGTATATTGATTTAACAAAGACGGGCTTTATTTAATTTATTTGTTTTTTTATCTGGACCCACGATAAGTTTTCCTCTAACTATTTAGAATTTTAAAACTAGCGAACTACAAAATAACACATTTTGATTATTATACTTTGTCTACACATACGTATTTTATTTCATGTGAGATCTGTAGAAATACTTTTTGAATGAGTTTGAAAATGTCATTTTCGGGGTTTTTTTCTTACATTAAGGGCAAAGGAGTGATTTTTTTTATTCATTTTTGACCTTCCAAAGTACTGATTGAATACATTATGGGACCGGGAGAGATTATCCTCGAAACAATCAGTCCAATAGGTCTAAAAATATTGTGCGAACAGACAAAAAAAAAATTATAAATCATTGTAAAACAAATTCAGCTTCTAACCTAAGTAGGTTTATAAGCTAAAAAACTATTAAAATATGTTTTTATGATTTATACTATTACGCTATATTTTAAGAGCAGCTTAATACATTTTTAAAACAAAAAAAAATATATCCAAACAAAAAACATCATTTAATAATTCGTTGAAAACTCATTATCTTCTAAACTACGCATGTAAGCCAAAAAAAATACACTAAAATTTGTTTTCATGTTTTATACAAATAAATGTGTACGAAACAAATATTACTAGATATAATTATTAAATATAATATTTTTGTGCCTTATTAAAAAAAAAAACTATACTATTAATCATAGTAAAATGTTTAAACACCTCTACAAAGGTTGGATGAGTTGGAAGAGGAACTTGAAATGATGAGTAAAAGAACGGATTGCCATTTAAAGAGAGGAATATTCAAATTTCAAAAAACATGTAGAGATCTTGTTTTAATCTAGATGAAGTTAAACGCGCTGATATAGAACTATATTGTGACGTTAGAGGTTTCTTCACTGATATAAAAAACGGTTATAAAATAAAATTATACATTTATTATATTTATTAAACTATTGAAATTATTAAATCCAAATTTTATTTTTATATTACTGAATTTTAATAAAACTGTAAACTGAATACTATGTCTATGAAAAACAAACAATAATAGCTGTAATCAATAATTAATACAATCTACTATATTGTATACTATCAACTATATTTCGGCACTTAGGTGAGGATCAAAGACAATGGTGTCAGTAATTTCGTCGTAATGAAAACCGAGTTGGAGCATGTGGTTGTTGATATTATCCATGTACGATTTTAATTGATCTGCATAGTAAGCGTAAATATCATTTGGGTCTCCCCTATACTTGCTCCTTATTGCCATTAAGTTGAATGATTTGTATTGTGGTCGACATGTAGAGTGCAAAAAATATCCTAAAGAAACAGCAACAGACCTTAACAGAATGTTGATAATTGAGCCACCAGGTACTGTTTCATTAAAAGCTACGTTCATACGGTTCGTGAGAAATTCTTCCAGTGGCTTCAGAATTTGGTAAAATCGATTGTTTTTAACATCTTGATTGATTTCATTGTCAGTGGTCTCCAACACGCGCATTAGTTTGGAAATAACAAATTTACCTCTTTTTATACTATCCAGAAGTGTGTTCCTACAATCGTCAGCGTTTTGGTTGTTGTTTCGTTGCATGTTGTCACATTCTTCAATTGCTTCAAGCGTCAATAAGAGAAACCATTGAAAAGTCACGCCGTAAGCGCATCCCAAAAAGGGAGTCAACGTCTGCAACATAGCCACTTCTCCGGAACTAGAATTTAAAATATTATTGACTTTGACCCCTTTGAACCACAGTACGTCCCAATGTCGACCCTGCCGTAAATGTTGCAGCATTATTTCTGCTCGTGTAGGTTCTGCGCACGCCATCGTTGCGTTGTGTAACCACACCGAAACAAACGAAATTAAAAACTTAACGATTGATTTTTTTTCCATCTTGTACATTTCAAACTTGAGGAATCTCGCTTGACGAAACTGTACGAATTGAGTGGTCTGTATGCAAAAAATGGACTGTCTACAATTTGTTCATTTTTGTCATGTAAATCGCACAGTCACTCCCATATTGTTTGCCGTTATTATGGCCATAAATTATTAAAACACCAAATATTTATTATTATTTGTTATGTGTACTAATTTTGTTTTACTAGTTTTTATTTGGTTACAGCCTATTATTCAATTAAAATGTATGGTACAGTTCAATAAATAAATCTATAGCAAATATCTAATTATAAAAAAAACTAGTGCAGTGAGGACGAGGAGGTTACTACTAATACTAGAACTATTATACAATTATAAAATCGGGTTGCCGGCGACACTCCTAAATGTTTCCTGAATCCATCTAGCCAAAGACCTTCTCCCGAACGGGAAAATATCATATCCTATGAATATGGATAGTGTAAATATTGATGTTTTCAAAGTACATATTTTTTTGTTACTAAGAAAGTATAAAAACGAAAAATAAGATGTATTATCTAGACAAGATCTTTGGTAATCCTTTTTTAATATTCTAACAATTAAAATTATACATTTTTTTATCCATATTTTACTGTTATACCTTATAAAACAAAATCATGTCATAAATTAATTCATTTTAATAAAATTGTAAACTGAATACTATTTCTATAAAGAACAAAAAATATAAGTGGTAGTAAATAAAAAATACAACGTACTATATGATTGGTATTCTGGTTGACATGTAGAGTACATAAAGTTTCCTAAAGAAACAGCAACAGACATCAACAAAGCGTTAATAACTAAGCCACCTGGTTCTGTTTCATTAAAAGATATATTGATACGTCCTGTGATAAATTCTTCGAGCGGCTTCAGAATTTGGTAAAACCGATTGTTTTCAACAACTTGGTCGATTTCAGTATCGGTGTACAGCAACACGCGGATTAATTTAAAAATAACAAATTTACGTCTTTTCACGCTCTCCATAAGTGTGATCTTACAATCGTTGGCGTTTGGGTTGTTGTTTCGTTGCATGTTGTCACATTCTCCAATTGCTTCGAGCGTCATTAAGAAAAACCAATTAAATTTTACACCGTAAGCACATCCCATATATATAGGCAGAGACCATTTGCAACCCATACACCGTTTCTGAGCTATCATCTATTGCATTATTATTTTTGACTCCTTTGAACCACAGTACGTCCCAATGTCGACCCTGTCGTAAATGTTGCAGCATTATTTCTGCTCGGTTCTGCGCACGCCCTCGTTGCGTTGTGTAACCACACCAAAATAAACGGAATTAAAAACATAATAACTAAATTTTTTTCCATCTTGAATCTTTTAACTTGAACAATTTCGCTTGACGAAACAGAACGAATTGAGTGGCCTATATGATAAAACGTAATGTCTGCATATATTTTATTTTTGCCACGTAGTAGACAGCTGTTTTTCACATAAACAAATAATCGCGCCCATTGTTTGCCTCTCAAAATTATCTATTGTTTTTTATTTACTAACGCCTCAAGGTCTAGGAGAACAAAAAATATATTTTTTTTTTAAATATAAGGGAAAGAATTGAAAAATAAATCAATATCGGACAAATTATTATATATAATGCAAAGGGCGTTTGAAGGGATTAAATACCTAATATTATTAGTTGCGTAGAATTTTATTTTAATCATAATGCCTACGTTTGATAAAAGTGAACTGATAAAGGTAGTTGAGATGACAACTCAGGAGAATCAATTAAGCCGTTTAATATATTTTACACGAAGAAATACCAAACTCTCTTTGTGTATGTACTAACGATTTAGTTGACACAGAACAACCATTGCGAACTCTGATACTTTAGTTTATTTAACCGTTTAATAAATGTTAGTTGTTAATATTAATTCCACCCCAACAAGTGTTGTTAACGTTACTGTTGTCAACGTTACTGTTGATATGTTATGACTAAATCATTTCTAACCCAATTATAACAACATTTGTTATAGGTACAGGAATTCACAATATTTTTTTTGACATGAATATGTCTGTAAATGAAGTACAATTTACGGAAACTTGGGCGTCACTAATACAATGTTTTCATTTATGAGATGTACATAGGGTGATTTATTATAGACCTAACCGAGGCAAACCTTTGTAATGTCATTCGATTGACATGTTAAAGGTCTCAAATATATATTACTATTATAAATGGGCTACACGGAACGAATGACGAAGAGAGCGGCCTTCTCAAAATCAAAAACGATTATTAAATAAGAAAACATGACCAATACGGGGACATTG